TATTAGTTATTTTTCCTATTTTGGTGTATAATATCAAAAAAACCGTTTAGAATTCTCACTTATTTGAGAAAAGAAAAGAGGTTCCTCAACATAATTTTGACATACAACAGAAATTTTTCCTATCATATCCAATAAAGTCCTACAAAGTGATATATTTTTAGTTATTTTCCTATTTTAGTGTATAATATTTATAGAAAATTCAGTCATCGATCCCATCTAGACATGTTAATTTTAAAATTTCATCCAAATATGAAATCTACCTAAATTAAAATGACAAGTGTCATTTGTCAAATTCTTGGATGGGATATTAGTAGGTTTCCATCCATTGTTTTATCTGCAGGTAATAAGCCAGTGGAGGCTCAGGTATTAGGCTCCCAACTTCGGACTTCAAGTTTGGCCTATTTGAATGACAGATGCTAGAGAATGAGTTGTAATTTTTCCGAAGAGTACTTGACTTTTAGGAAGAGTTGTGACGTTTATGAAGAGTTGTGATTTTTATGAAGAGTTGTGACGTTTATGAAGAGTTGTGATTTTTATGAAGAGTTGTGACGTTTATGAAGAGTTGTGATTTTTATGAAGAGTTGTGACGTTTATGAAGAGTTGTGATTTTTATGAAGAGTTGTGACGTTTATGAAGAGTTGTGATTTTTATGAAGAGTTGTGACGTTTATGAAGAGTTGTGATTTTTATGAAGAGTTGTGACGTTTATGAAGAGTTGTGATTTTTATGAAGAGTTGTGACGTTTATGAAGAGTTGTGATTTTTATGAAGAGTTGTGACGTTTATGAAGAGTTGTGATTTTTATGAAGAGTTGTGACGTTTATGAAGAGTTGTGATTTTTATGAAGAGTTGTGACGTTTATGAAGAGTTGTGATTTTTATGAAGAGTTGTGACGTTTATGAAGAGTTGTGATTTTTATGAAGAGTTGTGACGTTTATGAAGAGTTGTGATTTTTATGAAGAGTTGTGACGTTTATGAAGAGTTGTGATTTTTATGAAGAGTTGTGACGTTTATGAAGAGTTGTGATTTTTATGAAGAGTTGTGACGTTTATGAAGAGTTGTGATTTTTCTGAAGAGTTGTGACTTCCACGAAGAGTTATGACTTTTATAAAAAGTTGCGACTTTTTCATAAGGTTGTATCTTTTCTGAAGGGTTGTGACTTTCCTGATAAGGCACAGTTGTTCACACTACCTTTTGTTGTCTATAAATAAAGGGATTTCATCTTATTTTACAACAACGAATTTCTGGATTTTTTCTTCTACTACTAAATCTAGTATTCTTAAGTGTAATTTATTACTGTTGAGTGGTTCGCTAACACCGTGGTTTTAGGTATCGATACACCGGTGAGTAAGATCATTCCATCCTGTGAGTATATATTCTATTAGCTTCTCTTTTTCTGATTATATTTTTTTTTACTGGTTTAGTTTTTTAGTTTTGAAAATACCTTTGTTTCTTACCTTGTTCACACATGATTTGTTTTTTTTTTTTTATATACATTAGTAACCATGGATGAAGTTCCAAACAATTACATAGATATTGATAATCAAGATCTTTATTCCTCTACTATACCATGGGACAATGAATTTGATTTTGGTGAAGAAGCAGGCTTATCAAAAATATTTGATTTAACTCAAGAGCATCCCATGAACACCAACATTATTCCTAGTACCTCAATACAAAATTCTGAGGATATTTCAGAATTACCTATGACCACCACCAACATCTCTGGTTATTCATCAACGGATAAGAATTCTTCGAAAATAACTTATCCAATTACCGTTGATGACTATTCGTTATCTTATATATATTTCATGGGATGCAAAGATAATACTAGTGAGAAATTACAAAATCACTCCATCAAGTCTAAGTTGATGGTTGGTCAGCAAAATGGAATTTTGAGTTCCTTGGATAGTGAATTCCCACAAAATACAAGGTTTATTTTCCTTTCCCTATTTTAATTTCAAAAATACATATGTTATTGATGATATTGCCAATTATTATTTTTTTATTACATATTTTCAAACTTTTATTTAATCAATTCTTAGATGTAAGTAAATTTTGTTTTTGTCATTTTGGTTTAGCAGTAGGAATGGCGGTCCTATAAGAAGGTCACCTAATAGGACAAGCTCAAGATACCAACCATTTGGCAAAGAAATTGATCCAAACAATCAAGGATTAGATAGGCATGTTTTCTCTCTTTTATTCTCCAAATTATCATCAATATATTAATTAGTAATATTGTATCTCCCATTTTCAATCACATTAGTTTACATATTATATGAGTGTGTTCGGTACGGAGGAAACATATGGTTTTCAATTATTTTATGTTTGATTAGTGGGAATATTTTCTCATGTTCTTTGAAAATGAGAAAAATGATAAATAGTTGCATCTATCATATATATATATAATAAAAGATCTCTTTAGACAATGACAACGCTCAATATAATTCATCTCATCTTGTTTATATTTTTCAGGATTCGTCAAAACAGTTCAGAGGCGATCTTCAACACACCACACAATTTCAATGAACATACTCAAGGGTATGGCTATTCCAATGAAGCGATTACATTGAGAAGTTTGAAGAGTAGGAGAGAAAATGAAGATGAAGCTCCTGCTCAGTTACAGTCTTCTTCAATACCCCAACCAACTTGCCTCTATATTGAATCTGCCTAGTTCGCAAATAAGGCTCAAAATACTTGTACAATGTGTCTTGGACGTTCAAGATATATCATTTTTAGAACAATGTTTTATTGCCTCAAACAGTATATATATATATGGAACAAAAAATATGGAAAATAGTGTTCAGCAAATAAATATTAATCCTTTTATGTTCGATTCCTCTGTGTCTTCATTTCTTCGTCATTAAATGCAACGTCGCCACAACTAACCAGAAGTGATCATAGGACATTTAGGTTGACATTTTTGGCAAACATCTCATAAAGGCAATATTAGCACTGACACTGACGAAGCAAGAAATGTGATAACTTCTCGTTGTTGGGTTAGGATGTTGCATAATTTGTCACCTCTATATATATTGATTCTACAGTTACTTCTTCGAACATTGCAAGGTGAATACTACTGGATATATGGATCGTAAGACAATTGTGTTTTACGGTTTAGTGTCGAGGTGAGTGTCATGATGTCAGATTTTGTCAGTGGCTTACACTTACATACAAGTAAATGATGTGCTAAACCTATTAATTATTACCAATCTCAAATAGCATTGATGAAAAAATTCTCTCAAGTTTCATAAACAAACATACAATGTTTTTGCACTGTATTTTACTGACAATAAGAAGATACTCCTATGTGAAACCGTCATCAGCAATGAAGGCTCTGTTGTTAAGAGAATTTGTGCTTTCCCGATCTAAGAAAAACTTGGACCAATATGTTGATTTTGCCACATCAAACCATAATTTATACTGTAAACACCCAAATAAAGCCACAGGAACACCAACACAAGCTGCAATGAGCTTTGGTTCCCAACCCATATGATTACTATAGACCAAAAAGAATGTTGCTGCAAAAGCCAAGAGCATGCTAACTATCGAGACAAACAGCATTGTGAGTCCAAACAATAACTTGGCTGGCAACGACACAAGAAAATCATCTTCAGCATAGTGGGATGTCACAATGGACAAGAACATAATGATGGAAACTATTGAGGTGAATAGTGCCACTGCATCTGAATTGACAAAGATCCTAAATCCATACAATTTTAGCAATATGGGAATGCAATTATCACTGTTATTACCGCCTGGCACAGTTAATCCAGCAGCAAAGACCATGGTGGCAATCAAAGTAGCGACAATCATACAAGAATTTGCAGTGTCTTTCATCCACCTTTTCCCTTCTTTCAGTAATAACTTATGCTCTTCTGTGAATATTTCTCTAGGGGTTTTCCCATCTTTGTTTTGTTAGTGCAAAGTTTTAATGATAAACAACTTATTCTTGCATCAAAAAGGAAAGAATCAAGAATGTGTACATCCTTGACTCTGTAAAAAAACAATGGAGGACATATATGCCTAGCTTCAATGACTGATGATCCCTGGATTTGGCACAAGAATTTGGCCATGCAAGCATGCGACTAATAGAGAAATTAGCTAAAAATGAGCTTGTAATTGGACACCACCACCACTTTTGTCTTTTTAGTTATTCCAAAACTATCCTTGAAAATAAAAATAATTCAAAGTAAAAATATAAATATGAACAATTAACTCTCTTGAACTTATCACTTAGAAAAGGTAAATGAAAGACAAAAATGGAAGAAATTTTTAACAACTCTCTTGAACATTGAATAATTGAAAAAATGTCAAAAGTTCAAATAGTATGGACTAGATGGAGTAAAATATATAGTTTATATTTTATTAGTCCATATATCATAAAACAATTTTTTTTTTTGTTTCTAGTCAATAGTAATATGAATTTTACACATCATATTAGGCCTCTTATTGTAATTTGAAGTAATTCCGTTGACCCATCCCTGTGTAACACACTTGTGGAGATGTGTAACACATTATGAAGGGTAGAGAGGACTATTGATAGACCCAAAAATCACGCCAAAACTAATGGCAGTATTCAAAATGCAAGGCCACAAGTAGTGATCAGAAAGACCAAGATTCTTGCACATTTCATTGAAGGCAAAAAACATTTTCCCTGTAGGTCACTAATGCCATTTTCTAGTCTTCACTAAAAGAAGTTGTTGAACTCCAAATTGTCACTCTAAACCAAAAAATACTCCAGTCATCAATTCTTGTTTTAGGAAAAAGAGAAACCTGTCAGTTATAGTTATGGGAAGAAGTTGCGATCTTCTCTTTGCTCTTTCGGTTTTCATTCTGCTCCATACTTCACTATCTATTAGTACTGATGAAGCTGCTCTTCTTGCCTTCAAATCTCACATTTCTTCTTCTAATCCTAACAACATCTTAGCAACCAACTGGTCTTCTTCCACCCTTGTTTGCACCTGGATTGGAATCACTTGCACCTCCCCACACCATCGAGTCGCAGCTTTAGACATTTCTAGTATGCAACTTCATGGTACCATTTCTCCACACCTTGGAAACCTCTCATTTCTTGTTTCCCTCAACATTAGTAACAACTCTTTCCGTGGAGATTTGCCCAAAGAGTTGGCTCATTTGCAGAGGTTGAAATTGATTGATGTCTCAAGCAATAACTTCACTGGTGCCATTCCATCATTTTTAAGTTTGCTAGTAGACCTTTGCATTTTGTGCCTGTCGAGCAACCAATTTTCAGGAAAAATCCCATCTTCACTTTCCAATCTAACAAAGCTGGAGGTGTTGAAAATAAAGGGAAATCTTCTTGAAGGAGAGATCCCTCGAGAACTTGGTGATCTTCATTACATGACTGCTTTAAACCTGGGAAGTAACCACCTTACTGGCTCTATACCACCATCAATTTATAACATTACAACCATGCGAATCATTGCTCTTACCAACAATAATCTTAGTGGTGAGCTTCCAACAACTATATGTGACCATCTTCCAAACTTGGAAGGGCTTTGCCTCTTAGAAAACATCCTAGGTGGCGTTATTCCACCAAACTTGGAAAAATGCAAAAACCTCAAAATTTTGTCATTGTCTGTAAACGAGTTCACTTGGAACCATACCAAGAGAGTTAGGCAACATAACAGATCTTACAGATATAGCTCTTGGAATACAGCACTTGGGAGGTAGTATTGCATCTCCTAGCAAGAAATTTTGAATTTTCTTCTTTTTCACTCTTCGACCAATTTGGTACTCATATATATTTATATTTCCCCACTTTACAGGAAAGATACCAGTGGAGCTAGGTAATCTTAAGAAACTACAGATTCTGTCATTAAACGACTGTAAGCTTACTGGTTCCATCCCCGCAAGCATTTTCAACATGTCAGCACTGCAGCTCCTAGGAATATCAGAAAACAGGCTTTCAGGTACTCTACCTTCAGATTTAGGTCGTGGAATGCCCAACCTAGAAGGATTCTCTTGTTTTCAGAATAGTTTGAGTGGTTTTCTCCCTGCTTCTATCTCAAAGTCTTCTAGACTCAGTGTACTTGAACTCTCCTATAACAGTTTTACAGGCCCAATTCCTGAATCAGTTAGTGACTTAGAATACATTGAGATTTTGAACTTTGGGGGGAATAATTTTTTCAGCAATTCAGCATTGAGCTTCTTGACATCTTTGACAAACTGTAGGAAACTGAAAGAAATCACTTTTGCCGAGAATCCCTTGGACGGTTTTTTGCCTGCCTCCATTGGGAATTTCTCTGATTCTCTGCAAATTTTCCAAGGATGGTATTGTAAACTGAAAGGCTTCATTCCTGGAGAAATTGGCAATCTTACCGGTGTGATAAAGATGGATTTGTCACAAAATGAGTTGACTGGATATATTCCAAAAACCATCCAAGGCTTGTCAAACCTTCAAGAACTTTACTTAGGTGGCAACATGATAAAAGGAACCATACCAGATGTTATGTGCAATTTAAATAAACTTGGAGCATTAGATTTGTCAAAAAATCAAGCTTCTGGTTCCATACCACCATGCTTAGGGAACGTTACCAGTTTGAGGTATCTTTATCTAGCTAACAACAGGCTGAACTGGACCTTACCTTCAAGCTTGGGGAGCCTTCAAGATCTCCTAGAATTCAATGTTTCGTCCAATTTATTAACTGGGGAAGTTCCTATAGAGATTGGAAATTTAAAGGTTGCAACAATAGTTGATCTGTCAAAAAATGATTTTAATGGTAAGATCCCTAGCACACTAGGGGGTCTGGATAGATTGATGAAACTTTCTCTAGCACATAATAAATTAGATGGGCCTATTCCAGATTCATTTGGCAAAATGCTGGCCTTGGAATTCTTGGATTTGAGCATTAACAATGTTAGTGGTGAAATTCCAAAGTCATTAGAAGCTCTCGTGTATCTCAAATACTTGAACTTCTCATTTAATGAACTCAGTGGAGAGATTCCCACGGGTGGTCCTTTTGCAAATGCCACAAGTCAATCTTTCTTGAAAAATTATGCCCTTTGTGGCGACTCTAAGTTTCATGTTTCACCATGCGTCATCAAATCTCCCAAGAGGTCAAAGAAAAAAAAGGCAATATTGGTTTTGGGAGTTGGTATGCTATTTCTTGCATTAGCCCTCACATATGTATTTTTGAGATTGAGAAAGGAAAAAAAGAATGCAGGTCAAGCTGATGTGTCTCTGATAAAATGTCATGAAAGAATTTCCTATTATGAACTTGAACAAGCAACCGAAAGATTCAATGAAAGCAACTTGCTTGGTAACGGGAGTTTCTGCAAGGTCTACAAAGGGAGACTAAAGGATGGTACTCTTTTGGCAGCAAAGGTATTCAATGTGCAATTGGAGGGTGCATTCAAAAGTTTTGATACAGAATGTGAGATGTTGCGCAATCTCCGCCACCGAAATCTGACCAAAGTCATCACCAGTTGCTCCAACCTTGATTTCAAAGCCTTAGTGTTGGAATACATGTCCAATGGGACACTTGATAAATGGCTATACTCTCACAACTTGTTCTTGGATTTATTACAGAGATTAGCTATAATGATAGATGTTGCATCTGCAATGGTCTATCTCCACAGTGGTTGTTCAAATCCGGTGGTGCATTGTGACTTAAAGCCAAGCAATGTCTTGCTAGATCAAGAAATGGTTGGCCATGTCAGTGATTTTGGCATTGCAAAATTGTTAGGTGCAGGGAAGACTTTTGTTCAAACAAGGACAATAGCAACCATTGGATATATTGCTCCAGGTATTAAAACTTTTACATCTTTCTCATGTTTTCAGAATACCCAAAACATTAATTCTTTTCCCCGATATATATGATCAGTTTTAGCCTATTACTCGATAGTTAGGAAGCATTTTTGATCATTTTCAACCCATGATTGCAGAGTATGGACAAGATGGAATGGTATCCACGAGCTGTGATGTTTATAGTTTCGGCATCCTGATGATGGAGACATTTACAAGAACCAAACCAGGTGATGAAATATTTACTGGAGACTTGAGCATACGACGTTGGGTAAGTGATTCTTTTCCATATGAGATTCATAAGGTGGTGGATGCTAATTTGGTAGAGCTAGAGGATGAACGGATTGACGCAAAGATGCAGTGTTTGTTGTCTATCATAGAGTTAGCTTTGAGCTGCACTTTAGTGTCACCTGATGCAAGAATTAGTATGGAAGATTCTCTTTCAACACTTCAAAAGATCATGCTCCAGTTGGTCAATAGTCACCGCTAGGTGAAATTAGACCATCCTCTTATGATTGATGCTTGATTACCTATGTCAATTCTGCTATTTAAGATGAATTCAGTTTTGTACTTCATATTATGTACTTTTTCACTTTCTAAACATCACAGATTTCTTTCAACCATATGCTAGCTGGAATGGTGATTTTCCAGCTACTGGAGTTCACAATTAGTCTTTCTAATCCATAATTAATTGTCTCCTGGATATCTTTCAGAACAAGTTTTATGACGTTGCTGATAAGAGCTTATGCCTTTTGGTGTTTTGATGATCTCCTCACAAATGCAGGGACCTGGTCCTCTGCAGAGTATGCTCGTCCAGTGTCGAAGTGCGGTACAGCTGTAAAAGCTGTCTGCGCAAAGTGCGGTACAGCTGTAAAAGTTGTCTGCGTCAGAGAGTTGGTGAAAGCTGCAGAGTACTTCACCAATCAGAAGCAAGGAGGTTGCTTGTACGTTTGGTAATAACTTTTTATGGTATATACTAAACAAAATACAACAATATTACTCATTCATTCAAAAAGTGTGAGAGTCTTCCAAGCTTCAAGAAAAGCAAGGGATTTGATCGATTGCCTCAAGAGCTTCTTGTATCAGCTGTTATTTTGTTTGCTTGTAATAGTTCTAATATTGTAAGATAAGTTTTTCTTGTAAAAGAAATGCTTTCAAACTCGTTTAAATCATTGTAAGAACTAGGTTAAGGGTAACTTTAGGCTCTTACTCTAAAAAGGTCTATATATTAATCAGTTAGGATTAGTATAGTGAGCGGTACTGTGTCTGCTCTGGCTCATCTAAGTAATAGGAGGTATTGCTTAGAGTTGGGATTAGTAGGTTAATCCTTGTTTGTAAACTTGCTTTTGCTTTTTGCTCGGAGAAGATTAGTGAAAGAAGTTTTGAAAAGTCCTGGCAGGCCAGGTCGTGGTTTTACTCCCTTGAGCAAGGAGGTTTTCACGTAAAGTTGTTGTGCAATCTTTACTTTCAGTACTTTATTTATTTTCTGTTAGTGTAACTGTGCTGAGGACCTGGTCCCATAGAAAACGTGGACGCATACATTCTAAGAAGTGGTATCAGAGCCTGTCTTTTCTCTCTGGTTAACACCAAGAAAAGGAAAGATCCTGACGGAATGGCTGCTCCACCCAATATGGAGGAAGGACAATCTTCTACTAGACCACCGCGTTTTAATGGACAATACTATGGCTGGTGGAAAAATCGAATGCACGACTACATCAACGCTGAAGATTCTGAGCTTTGGGACATCATCCTTGATGGTCCATATGTTCCTACAAAGGAAGTGAAGGATGGAGAGCTTACCACCACTGCTGTCAAAACCAGAAAGGACTACAACGAAGCAGATAGGAAAAAGATAGAAAAGAACTACAAAGCAAAGAAGATTTTGGTGTGCGGAATTGGAGCAGATGAGTACAACAAAATTTCTGCTTGTGAAACTGCCAAGGAAATATGGGATTGTCTTCAAACAGCCCATGAAGGAACTCAACGAGTAAAATAATCTAAAGTTGATATGCTTACCACTCAGTATGAAAACTTCAGTATGAAGGAAGGGGAATCCATATTTGAGATGAACTCAAGATTCACCTCTATCACTAACGAGCTGAGAGGGTTGGGTGAGCCTATTCCTGTCCGTAAGCAAATTCGCAAGATTCTCAAGGTGCTTCCAAAATCTTGGGAAAGCAAGGTGGATGCCATAACAGAAGCCAAAGATCTAATGACACTTTCTATGGACGAACTGATTGGGAACCTTCAGACCTATGCGATGAACAAAAAACAGGGGACAACTATGAAGGAAGGAAAGAAGGAGAAGTCCATTGCTTTGAGAATATCTCAAAGTAGAGAAACTGAAGAGGAGGATGAGATGACATATGTCACTAGAAGATTTCAGAAGATCTTAAAGAAGCATGGAGGCTTTCAAAAGAAAACCCTTTCCAGCAGAACTGCTACTGCAAATGATCTCTGCCATAAGTATGGTAAGCCTGGACATTTCATGAGGAACTGCCCCAGTACAAGCAGGAAACTCATGACACCAGACCTCGCAAGAGGGACCTGGTCCCAGACCATGCTCGAAGGAAGGCACATGCGGATCAGATGGTGAGAAATGCCTTTGTTGTGTGGGGAAATGACTCAAGTGAATCAGAAGAAGATGAAGAGAATCATGAGGATGTCTCAATGATGGCCATTGAGGATAACGAAAGCATTTTCAACTCTATTTTCTCCATTGAGGATGTCTTAATGGAAAATTCTGATGATGAAGAGGATTCAGATGAGGTAACTCTTTTTGATCTTAAAGATGATCTAGATAATCTGCCTATAGAAAATTTGAGGAAACTTGCTGCTCTGCTTATTGATTATGTTGATGAACGAACCACTGAAAACTTAATGTTGAAATAAAAAATTAAGTCTGTGTGAAGACAGGAACTCTGCTCTCATGTCTCAAGTTGCTGAAATTAGTAAAGGGATAGGTATTCTAGAGACTTGCAACATAACATCTGAGAAGGACCCTGTAAACTCAGTAGGTAGGAAGAGAAAGCTTAGTATTTTTGAGGAAGAACTGGAAGAAAAGCTAAAAAAATTTGAGTCCAAGTTAGTCGCTTCTCTTGAAATAAATTCTCAACTAAGAAAAGATTTGAGTAAGGTCAAGGAAGAATTAAGTCACTCCCTTAAATGGACTGATTCCTCTAAGATACTTTCTAATATGTCCAATCAAAGTTTCAATGGAAAGAAAGGGTTGGGATACAGACCATTAGAGCCCCCCTATAATCCCCATAGCAAATATATGTCTGTATCTGACAACCTTTTATGTACTCACTGTGGTCGAAATGGTCATCTGAAAGAAAATTGTGAGATTCTGAGAAAAGCTAAGGAAAGGCATGAGAGATTTGTTAGATCTGAAAATGATGCTAAAAAGAGACATAAGGGACCTGATCCCCCGTATTGTTTCAGAAAAAACATCATGCCTCACTGGACAGAAAGGTTTCTTATCAGACCTCTTAATGATTACTGGGAACTCCGTCTGAAGTGGGTTCCTAAATCTAACAAATGATTTCTATGTAGAAGAGAGGAATGAGTCAGTGCTGGTAGATGGACAGTGGATGCTCAAGGCACATGACATGAGACACTTCAAACTTCCTCTCTTTGGAAGCACACCAAGGTGGTGGTGTGTCATTTGGTGGTGGAAAGAAGGGCTCTATTCTTGGTATTGGCAGAATAGGGAGATCGGCTGATAATTCGATAAATAATGTACACTATGTGGAGGGTTTAAAATACAATCTTTTGAGCATTTCACAAATTTGTGACAAGGGAAATGAAGTCAAGTTCTTGTCTGACAGCTGTGTGGTTACAAAATGTGCAACTAAGAAAATTGCGATGTTTGCAAAAAGAGTCAAGAATATGTATGTTGCTGATCTTGATTCTATTGAAGGAGCCAGCCTGTCATGTCTGAGTGCTCAAACTGACAATGTAAATCTCTGGCATAAAAGACTAGGTCATGTAAGTGCCTCTTTACTTAACAAGCTTGTTACAGGGGACCTGGTCCGCGGATTACCAAAGCTAAAATTCTCAAATAACAAAGTCTGTGACGCCTGTATAAAAGGAAAACAAACAAGATCATCCTTCAAGGCAAAAAAGAGTATGAGCACTATCAGGCCTTTAGAACTTCTCCACATGGATTTGTGTGGACCGGTCAGGATTCAAAGCAGAGGAGGTAAAAATATATTCTTGTAATTGTTGATGATTTCTCCAGGTACACCTGGAATATGTTTTTGCGGAAAAAGGATGAGACTGCTGGAACCCTGATCACTTTCGTCAAAGCCATCCAGTTGAAGATAAACTGCAGGATAGCCAGTATCAGATCTGATCATGGTACAGAATTTGAAAACTCTATCTTTGAAGGGTTTTGCGTAGAAAATGGAATCAGCCACAACTTCTCAGCACCAAGAACTCCTCAGCAAAATAGAGTTGTTGAAAGAAAAAATAGAACTCTAGTGGATATTGCTAGAACTATGCTGATTGATTCAGAACTTGCCATGAATTTCTGGGCTGAAGCAGTTAATACAGCTTGCTATGTGACAAACAGGTGTCTTATCAGAACAATCATCAAGAAAACACCTTTTGAGTTGTTAAATAACAAAAAGCCTTCAATAGCTCATCTCAAGCCTTTTGGGTGCAAATGTTTTGTGCTGAAAAATGGAAAGGATGATCTAGGCAAATTTGATGCCAGAAGTGATGAGGGAGTATTTGTGGGGTACTCATCTACAAGCAAGGCTTACAGGGTGTTCAACAAAAGAACTTCTTGTGTTGAAGAAAGCATGCACGTCAAGTTTGATGAATTGGGTACAAAAAGACAGAACAATGAGGACAATGA